GCTCTACCACTTGAGCCACAGCACCACTTCTGGTTTTCTGAGTGGTTTATTGGAGATAAGAGTCTCATGGACTTTTCCTGCCCAGGCTGGCTTTGAACCATGATCCTCAGATTTCAGCCTCCTGAGTAGCTAGGATTACAGGTGTGAGCCACTGGCGCCCAGTGTACTTGCAGAATTTTTGGTGGTTAAGTTGAAGAGTCTCATGGACTTTTTCTGCTCAGACTGGCTTTAAACAACAATCCTCCCTTCTCAGCCTTCTTGAGTATATGTTTTCCATTTTAGGATGTATTATAAACTTTAAATTGGCTATATTGATTATTTTTAACATTTTAGTATATAAGTGTATATTGTCTATATAAATACATTGTATGTATACTTAATATATATTGCCAATGTTATATTTATATTAGTGTCAGTATTTGTATCTGGGTAACAAACTCATACCCAGTATTTCTGAAATCATTACAATTTGCAGTGGAGCTCACGAGTGTTCAAGAATGTGGCTGTCATACCACCTGGAACTGGAGTTGCTCACCAAGTGAACTTAGAATGCCTGTCACGAGTGGTTTGTGAAGACAAGGGCTTCCTCTTCCCTGACAGCGTAGTTGGCACAGACTCTCACATCACCATGGTTAATGGTTTGGGGATTCTTGGGTGGGGTAAGTAAACAACTCTGTGTATTCATTTCTGTAGGGACCCAAAGTCTAGAACATTATCGAGGAATAAGTGGACAGTCTGTGTAGCCTCTTTGAAGCTCTGTTACTTCATCAATCATAACAGCAACAACCCTCAGTTCAAGTGTCGGGTGTGTGGTAGAGTGTTTGTGGGGAACGCATGCACCCTGCATACATGCTTTCACCCATACCCATTGTAGAGGCTCATACTCTATTTCCCTGAATGGGCTGTGGTGTTCTTTCCCTGTGGTTTTCACAAGCACTCCTTTATCCTGCTGTTGGAATGCGGCCACTATTAATCCTGCCTCCAGATGTGCTTACGGTGTCCTGGGAGCCTTTACTTCTCACTTGAGTTGAGGATCTATTCTTCCTTACTCTTTTTTTGTTGTTGTTGTTAGTTATAGGGCTTGAACTCTGGACCTGGGGAGCTGTCCCTGAGCTCTTCAGCTCAAGGCTAGTGCTCTGCCACTTGAGCCACTGCGCCACTTATGGTTTTCTGGTGGTTTATTGGAGATAAGAGTCTCACAGACTTTCCTGCCCGGGCTGGCTTTGAACTACTATCCTTAGATCTCAGCCTCTGAGTAGCTAGGATTACAGGTGTGAGCCACCAGTGCCCAGCCTTACTCTTTTTATTTTATTTTGTCAGTTGTGGGGCTTGAACTCAGGGCTTGGGTGCTATTCCCGAGCTTTTTCGCTCAAAGCTAGTGCTCTACCATTTTGAGCCACAGTGCCACTTCTGGTTTTCTGGTGTTTAATTGGACACAAGAGTCTTATGGACTTTCTTGCCTGAGCTGGCTTTGAACCATGATCCTCAAATCTCAGGCTCGTTAGTAGCTAGGATAGCAGGCATAAATCACCAGCACCCACCTTTGCTTACTCTTTTACAGTGTTATAATAGTTAATTTTTGTTTATATTAGACTAAGCTTAAAGTGAACTGGACAATATTCATACCTGTCTTTTTTTTTTTTTTTGGTCGTGGGGCTTGAACTCTGGGCCTGAGCGCTGTCCCTCAGCTCTTCAGCTCAAGGCGAGCGTTCTACCACTTGAGCTACAGCGCCACTTCTTCATACCTGTCTTTTTGATGCCAGTACTAGGACTTGAGCTCAAGGCCTAGGCACTGTTCCTTAGCTTTTCTTCCAGAAGTTTGGCACTCTACCATTTAACCCACAGCTCCATTTCTATTTGTGTGGGTTTTTTGGGGGGTGATGGTGGTGGTGGTGATAGGGTGGTAGTCAATTGGAGGTAAGATTTTCATGGACTTTCCCACTAGGGCGAGCTTGGAACCACGATCCTCACATCTCAGCATCCTGAGTAGCTAGGATTATAGATGTGAGCTACTAGCACCCAACCATATCTGTGTTGTGAGCAGAGTACAAAAATGCCTAATCTATACCCTATACACTGTGTGTTTAGAAATTTTAATAAGTATAAAAGCATTCATTTTTGATTCATGTGAAGAGTCTCTTTGGGAAGGCATGGGTTCAAGACACACAGTATTAGCAGTGATAGCTCTGTGTGAGGGTTACGGAGCTGACGCAGTCCTCCTCCGTGCCTTCGGCTCATGTACTGTCTTGTCTGTCTCCAGGAGTGGGAGGCATTGAAACAGAAGCGGTCATGCTTGGCCTGCCCGTGTCTCTTACCTTACCAGAGGTGGTCGGGTGTGAGCTCACTGGCTCGTGCAATCCTTTCGTGACATCCATAGATGTTGTTCTTGGCATTACAAAGGTGAGTGTGAGCTGAGGTCTTTTTGTGACTTACAGGACATTGCTTTTATCTAAGGGGAGGAGCCAGAAGAACAAGGATTTGGGTTTAGGGCTTCCGTAGTTATCATAGCAACTGCAAGCACAACATTGAATTTTAGTAGTAAGTATGAGAAATTGATTTTGTTCATTTAACGCGCCAATGCATCTATTCCATTATAAGCCTCTGAGATGGGGGTCGTTGCTATTTTAATTCTGAGAAGCTGAAGGGCCTGAACTAACCCAGGCAATCAAGCAAAGTCCACTGAACTGTTTTGTAGTACTTACTCAGTAGATAACTATACACCATGTGAATTTTTTTTGTTGTTTTTGGTCCGGTTGTGGGGCCCGAACTCTGGGCCTGGGCGCTGTCCCTCAGCTCCTCAGCTCAAGGCTAGCGCTCTACCACTTGAGCCACAGCGCCACTTCTGGTTTTTTTTCTTTTTGCTTATGTGGTGCTGAGGAATTGAACCCAGGGCCTCAGGTATGCAAGGCAAGCGCTCTACCACTGAGCCACCTTCCCAGCCCATCATGTGAATTTTTAAAATGCCATATTCTGCTAAAGTGTCTTTGCCACTCCTTTAATATTTAATGGAATTATTTGCCCTTTCAAAACCAGTACACTATTAAATAATGCTTTCAAAAATAGGGACCGTAGGGGGGGAGGGGGGAGGTGGGAAGGGATGTGGAGGGTAAACAAAGGAGGAGGCTGCAATGCTTGGTAAGAAATGTATGCATTATCCTGCCCATGTAATTGTAACCCCTCTGTACAGTATGTTCACAAATAAAATTAAATTAAATTAAAAAAAATAGGGACCGTAGAGACATGTCAACTTTATCTATTGATTGAACTTTTCTTTGAAATATCATGTAGAAGCCCTTTGCTCTGAACTTTTAAAATCAGCATCATGCCTTTAGTGTGTGAGCTCCAGGGACTTGTAAATCCCATTTTAAAAACGACTACATGTGGGAAGTGTTCCATACAAAATTACAATTAGGATCCCAGCTTCTCAGAATTTTTGGTTAGATCATTGATCTGAAGGCTTTCAGGATATCCCACCGGGCAAGAAAATGGTAATACATCCCTCTCAGCAGTTAATATTGATCCTTCTTCCTTTTTTTTTTTGGTTGATTGTGGAGCTTGAACTCCAGGCTTGGGCGCTGTCCTTCAGCCCTTCAGCTCTTCAGCTCAAGGCTAGTGCTTTACCATTTGAGCCACAGCGCCACTTTCAGTTTTCTGGTAGTTAATTGGAGATAAGAGTTTCACAAACTTTGCTGCCTGGGCTGGCTTTGAACCATGATCCTCAGATCTCAGCCTCCTAAATAGCTAGGATTATAGGTGTGAGCCACCGGCACCTGGCTTTTTCTTTCTTAATATATATTTTTTATTGTCAAGAAACTGTACAGAGGGGTTACAGTTACATGAGCAGGGTAATGAGTCCGTTCCTGTCTAGCATTGTTACACCCTCCTTTATTTTTTCCCTATCATCCCTTTCTTCCCCACCTCTCCAACTCTTGCCCTTCCTCTCCCACCCTGATCCTCCTTCTTAAGTAGGAAAAAAAAATGACATCCCAAAGCAGTGATTGATCTGGGAAGTCATGCCAAAGATCATCAAGTCAATGTGAGAATTGCTGGCAGGACTACTCCTAAAGGAAAAGAAATATCCTCCAATGTCCTTTAAAAATTAATGCTGTTTTTAAATCTCTCGTGATGGTTTTTCCTTAGTGATGTTTTTGTCTGATATTTAGTTGATTAAAATTTTAACCTATTATGTGTGCCACTTCTGGTTTTCTGTTGGTTAATTAGAGATAATTGGGCTTTTCTTGCCCAGGCTGGCTTTGAGCCACTGTCCTCAGATTTCAACCTTCTGAGTAGCTAGGATTACCAGCGTGAGCCACCGGCACCTAGCTTATTATTTCTTTTGAGGTCCCATTCTCTTAATGATATGAAGACAGCATTTGGCTTAGTATATGTGATCTAGGTTTTTCTTCCTCAAAGTATAAAACCACAAATAGAAAAGGACATCTTTAATGTTTGAGTTTCTACATGTTTGTTTGTTTGTTTGTTTGTTTTTTGGGTCCAGTCTTGGGGCCTGAACTCTGGGCCTGGGCGCTGTCCCTCAGCTCTTCAGCTCAAGGCTAGAGCTCTACCACTTGAGCCACAGCACCACTTCCGGCTTTTTCTGCTTATGTGGTGCTGAGGAATTGAACCCAGGGCCTCAGGCATGCAAGACAAGCGCTCTACCACTGAGCCACCTTCCCAGCCCGAGTTTCTACATCTTTAAAAACGAGTTTGGGCAAAGTGTTTCTGAGCTGCCTCTAAAATGTTGGGATTGAATTTTACTCGTTGGTTGAGGGTTGTTTCTCTCTGTTACCTCTGTTACCTGACTTGCACCTTCCCCATGTCAGTTAGAGACCTCTTTACTAATTAGAAAAGATGATTATTTGTGTTTATTACTTGCTACTTAGAGTAATCTTGTACAGAATTAGGTTTAAACCAGGCACTGGTGGCTCATGCTTATAATCCTTTTTTTTGGTCGGTCGTGGGGCTTGAACTCTGGGCTTGGGCACTGTCCTTGTGCTCTTCAGCTCAAGGCGAGTGCTCTACCGCTTGAGCCACAGCATCACTTCCGTTTTTCTAGTGGCTTATTGGAGATTAGAGTCTCACGAACTTTCCTTCCCTGCCCGGGCTGGCTTTGAACCGTGATCCTCAGATCTCAGCCTCCTCAGTAGCTAGCATTACAGGGGTGAGCCACCTGTGCCTGGTGCCTATAATCTTCTTAATCAGGAAGCTGAGATCTAAGGATCGAAGTTTGAAGCCAGCTTGGGAAGGGAAGTCCGTGAGACTCTTTAATTCCAATTAACCACCAGAAAACCATAGGTGGTGCAGTGGCTCAAAGTGGTAGAGTGCTAGCCTTGGGCTAAAAGAGCTGAGGGATAGTACCCAGGCCCTGATTTCAACCCCACTACAAACCCAGAAGAAAAAAAAAAAAGAGTTTAAAATCATGTTAAGTCTTGCCAAAACGGAATTTATCGGTAATGATGTCTTAAATATTTTGTCTTGTAGCTGCAATTGGAAGAATTTATGGTTGTATCATTTTAGCATAACTTCAGTCTCATCATTAGTAGTACTAACTCACTAAATCTAAGAGGCCACCAGTGGTTTTGAGCAACTTTGTGTGAGGGGCTGCTAAGAAAGGAAAAAGTTTCCAACTGAATGAGAACATATGACAAGTTAGGGTACCCTGACTCAGTCATTGACACATGAATCAACCTTCTGGAACTTTTGCCCCAATTAACAAAGACATTGGACAATTCTACTAAAAACTCTTACAAAATGCCTGTGAAACTAGAGTATTTGATATGAAGAATGAAAGATCTTGTCCTTGGTGTTAGTTAAAAATTAGATCTTGGCCAGGTGCTGGTGGCTCATGCCTGTGAGTCCTACTCAGGAGGCTGAGAACTGAGGATCTCAGTTCGGAGCCAGCCCAGGCAGGGAACTCCATGAGACTCTTATCTCCAATAAACCACCAGAAAACCGGGAGTGGTACTGTGGCCCAAGTGGTAGAGTGCTCACCTTGAGCTGAAAAGCTGAAGGACAGCGTCCAGGCCCAAGGTTCAAGCCCCATGATTGACCCCCTCCAAAAAAAAAAAAATTGGATCTTATAGTTTCTAGGAAATCCATGTTCCTCCTGTTATTGCTAACTTTGTGTATTTCTGCCTATCTCTAAAGCACCTCAGACAAGTAGGAGTGGCTGGAAAGTTCGTTGAGTTTTTCGGAAGTGGAGTTTCACAGTTATCTGTTGTCGATCGAACTACCATAGCAAACATGTGTCCAGAATATGGTGCTATCCTCAGCTTTTTCCCTGTTGACAATGTGACATTGAAACACTTAGAACATACAGGTAAGAGTGTGTGCAATCATTGGAACAAACATACTGTATGTGCTGACTGACAATATAATAAATTACAATGTCATTATCTAATATTCATACTATGGCTTTCTTTTGAAACAGTGACATCAGATGTCTGCAGATTTAAAACTCAGCCCCCTGTGATCCATTAATCCTCACCTGACCTGTCCCCCACAGTGAAGGATCCCTGCCTCCCTCCCTGCCCCCCAGTGTGGAAGTCATTCTGAGCACATTCTCCACTCAACTATGAAATACTCTTGTCTCTTTTTGTGTGCATGTGCTCATGTACGCCAGCCATTGCCAGTACTAGGACTTGAACTCTCAGCCTGGACCCTGTCCCTGAGCTTTTGCTTTTACTAGCATTTTGGTGTTTCATTGAAAATAAGAGTCTTATGGACTATTCCTGCCCTGGCTTTTAAACTGAGATCCTTAGACTGTAGCCTCTTGAATAGTATGGATTTCTGACACAAGCCAGTGGTGCTGGGCCAGTGATGAATTTTCCTTATGGAAGTGAACTTAGGTACATTCTCCGCTGTCCTCTGCTGTAACCATGAGTCAGGGAGCCACCAGGCAGAAGTTTGGACATCAGTCTTTTCCAAAGAGTTAGAAGCACATACTTTTGTTAACAACAGTAGAAGGTTCCAGTTCAAGGTGTTTTTGTAGCCTGGTTGACTAAGATCTTTGACCACTCTCCTGTTGACTGTTGATATTTCATAAAGCCAGTCCATGTTTTTGTTCCTCCTTTTTGTGTGAAGATATTATCGTTGAGCTGTTTATTTTCTAATCAGAGCTATATCTTCAGAGATGCATTCTGTACTCTGCAGTTTGGGGGCACATTGTTATAAATGAGTTAGTTAATCAAATAGCAGAATGGATGATGGTTCATATTAAGCTCTGGAAAGAATAGGCCCTGTAAAATGCAAAACTCCTGTGTGGAGAGAGAAATTCATGCTTGCTTCATTATTGTTTCTTCTTTTATAGGTTTTGACAAAACCAAACTTGAGTCTGTGGAAAAATACCTGAAAGCTGTGAAGTTGTTTAGGAATGACCAGAGTTCTTCTGAGCCTGAATACTCACAGGTGTGTGCCAGTAGCACACTTCGAGGTGACTCAGAGTGTGAGATCTGGTACCTGCCCTGGGGTCTGGGTCCTGGGGCCACGGGCTCACTCACCAGCTGAGTAACTTGGCAGTTTATCTAACCTTTTTGCCTCAGTTTCTTCATCTCTATGTTCATGTGTACCTCATAGACCAGTTTTAGGTACATTGTAAATACTTAATAATTAGTTTTTGATAATGCTTAAGAGTTGTTATTTGTAATCCATTATTTTGATTTTATTAGTGACTTCTTAGGTTTCTTTTTTTTTTTTTTAAGGGTTAGGGTTAGAACTCAGGGCCTAGCACTTTTGGGCCAAGTACTCAGCCACTTGAGCCACACTCTTCCAGCCCTTTATTTTTGCTTTTCAGATTGAGCCTTGTGTTTGTTTTGGTGTGTGTGTGTGGAGTATGTGAGTGAGTGTCAGTCCTGGGGCTTGAACTTGGGCTCTAGGCAATGTCCTTAAGCTTTTTTCTCAAGACTGCTCCTCCACCACTTGAACCACAGTTCAAGTTCCAGATTTTTTTTAACTTTTTTTTTTTTTTTTTGTCATGGGGCATGAACTCTGGGCCTAGGCAGCTCAAGGATAGTGCTCTACCACTTGAGCCATAGCACCACTTCCAGTTTTCTGGTGGTTTGTTGGAGATAAGAGTCTCACGGACTCTCTTGCCTGGGCTGGCTTTGAACCGAGATCCTCAGATCTCAACCCATGAGTAGCTAGGATTACAGGTGTGAGCCACCGGTGCCTGGCACATTTTTTAAAAAAAGTTATCTCTAAGTAGTTGTACAAAGAAGTTCCCATTCTACAAAACAGTGTATGAATACAAGGTATCTGACAACATTGTCACCCATCCCTTCTAACCCATCCCTTCTCTCACTTTTTTTTCTTTTAATTGAGATTAGGTGATTACAAAACATTCACAAATTTCACAGTATTGTGAGATAGTGATACTTAAAGTCACAAACACATTCTAACCTTCATGAGGCAAATTGTCATTATCATGGTCTATAAAGTTTATGAATTCTATGAGCTTTGAAATACAATTATTTCTTCCACATCAGGTGATGTTTACATTTCTTTCCTTTTGCTTAGTGTAAGCTGTTGCCTTTCCCTGTCATTCCTCCCTTCCCATCACTGTCTTTCGGTTGTTTAGTTCTCGTTCTTCTATGTCCAGTGCAGCTGATGGGCCCCTTTGTTGTATGTTGGTCCATTTCCCACTTATTCTGAGCCCACCTCCTGGCTTCCCTCCATTGTGTGCATATATATATATACAGTCAAGAACATGAAGTCATTTAGCAACAACAAAATGAGTGGCTGTCCTTTGTTTCTGGAGTCCTGTTTACTTTGTCATATCTCTTTGCATTTTGGCTTTAGCATCCATATAACAGGGAGAACATGTGCCGTTTTTCTCTGTTCTTGGCTTATCTTGTTCAAAATAATTTGCTCTAGTTCCATCCATTTCCCTGCAAATGCCATTATTTTGTCCTTTCTAATGGATGCATAATATTCCATTGTATATAGGTACCACAATTTTTTTATCCACTCATCAGTAATGGGGCATCTGGGTTGTTTGCATATCTTGGCTTTTGTGAACAGTGCTGCAACAAACATGGAGATGCATGTGTCCTTGCATACTGGCTCCTGTTGTTCAGGGTAGATGCCTAGGAGTGGTATGACTGGGTCATAGGGGAGAAGGTCTATATTTAGCTTTCTGAGGTACCTCCAGACCACTTTCCAAAGTGGTTTAATAAGTGTACATTCTCACCAGCAATGCTGTAGGTTTCCTTTTTTTCTGCATCCCCTCCTTTTTTTCTGCATTTGTCATTGGCAGACTTTAGGATGTGTGCCATTTTATTTTGTGGTAGAAAGTACTACAACATTCCCCCTGTATTCCCAAATTTCAGTTTTAATGATTCCTACATCAGATTTATGACACTTTTGTCCCCAGTCCCATCATTAAAAAGCTACAGTTACATGGCCTTAAACTTCCTTTATAATCAAAGCAGTTATTTCTTTCTTTCTTTCTTTCTTTTTTTTTTTGTCAGTTGTGGGTCTTGAACTCTGGGCCTGGGCGCTGTCCCTCAGCTCTTCAACTCAAGGCTAGCACTCTACCACTTGAGCCATAGCACCACTTCTTGAGTTCAGGCCCCACGACTGACCAAAAAAAAAAAAGAAATCTCACCAAGTATTGTGGTGTACACCTGTAATGTGAGTGCTTGGGAGCCTGTGGCATTGTAAGTTTAAGTCAGCTTGTCTACAAAGCAAAATCATATCTTTTAAACACACACACATACACACACCACCACCAACAACAAAAATTACTGAGCCAGGTGCTTGTGGCTCATGCCTGTAATTCTAGCTTCTCAGGAGGCTGAGATCTGAGGATCACAGTTCAAAGCCAGCTCGGACAGAAACGTCTGTGAGACTCTTCTCTTTAATGAACCACCAGAAAACTGGAAGTGGCACTGTGGCTCAAGTGGTAGAGTGCTAGCCTGGGGCTGTAGAGCTCAGGGACAACTTCCAGACCCAAAGTTCAAGCCCCATGGCTGATAAAAATAAAATAAACAAATTAATTAATACCAAAAGGAAAAACCCAATCCTGGCCCTATAAAGAAATAGGCTTAAATCCATCAGAATGATCAGATTTTTGTTTTCAAAGAAACTTGTTAGTATAGACTGAGGCAAAGACCAGGGTTGCCTGCTCCATTAAAGGAAAGTAGAAGTAATTGGGCTCTTTCAGAAAAAGACAAGCCTTTTCCTTCTGTGTCCTTACTGCACCCTGTTGATTTGACTTCAGTCCCACAGTGTGTGCACACTTGCCTGCAGTGTTTGCGTTGGGTGAGTCACAAATTTCATCCGGGTCTTACAGTTGGTGGTGTAGCTTGATTGTACACTGATCTGTTAGTTTGGTGTTTTCATGGTATCATTCACAAACTTTTAACAGGTTTGTTACACCATTCAAACACTGCATTGAATCCGAATATATTCACTGTGCTTTTAGAAAGAACTGTTTGAACAGGAATCTGTATGGAGAAATTTTCATTCCTTCTCTTTCTGTTATCTTTTTCTAGGTGATACAGATTAACCTAAACTCAATTGTTCCAACTGTCAGTGGTCCCAAAAGACCTCAGGACAGAGTTGCAGTGACGGATATGAAAAGTGATTTCCAGGCTTGCCTAAATGAAAAGGTGAGTCCTTTTGTTGGTTGTGTTTGAACATGCTTGTGTTAAGTCTTTGTAAATCAGTCTTCTGCCATAATTTTTATAGCTCTGACACACACAGTGGCCTTTTTTTTTCACTCTTCTATCTGCTGGACAGGTCAGTCATTGATGGGGCCTTATTCCCAGTTCCACTATGACAATCAGGTGATTGTGTCTACTTAACTTTTTTTTTGGGGGGGTCACTCATGGGGCTTGACCTCTAGGCCTGGGCACTGCCCCTCAGCTCTTCAGCTCAAGGCGAGCGCTCTACCACTTGAGCCACAGTGTCACTTCCAGTTTTCTGATGGTTTATTGAAGAGTCTCATGGACTTTGCTGCCTGGGCTGGGTTTGAACCATGATCCTCAGTTCTCAGCCCCCTGATTAGCAAAGGTTACAAGCATGAGCCACTGGCACCCAGCTACTTATGTTAAATTTTAAATTAACTACAATTAATAGTTTCTCAGTCCGAGTAGTCTGATATCAAGTGCTGCACAGTATTGTGTGGCTGTGGCTCTTGCGCTGGGCAACAGAGAACCAAGTTAGGCAGCTCTGCCCTAGAGGCCTGTGAACCAATCACTCCCCGCCCCCCCACACTGGCACACTGATCCTCATCACTGGACACACGCAATTGAGTAGGAAGCGACTGCTTTTTGGGAGGTTGTATTCCTACTTAAGGGTCATGCCCCTAATCTTACCACTTTCTATGTTCTAGAAGTCAGCTTTCTTTTTTTTTTTTGGGTCCAGTTATGGGGCCTGAACTCTGGGCCTGGGCGCTGTCCCTCAGCTCTTCAGCTCAAGGCTAGCACTCTACCACTTGAGCCACAGCACTACTTCCGGCTTTTTTCTTTTTGCTTATGTGGTGCTGAGGAATCGAACCCAGGGCCTCAGGCATGCAAGGCAAGCACTCTACCACTGAGCCACCTTCCCAGCCCCTAGAAGTCAGCTTTCTTTTCAGACTATTTCTTTTTATAATTTCTTGGCTTTTCCCTCCCCTCCCCCTCTTGCTTGTTAGTGCAGATCCTGGGGCTGGAACTCAGGGCCTGGATGCTCTTCCTGAGCTTCTTTTGCTCAAGACTAGCACTCTACCACTTGAACCATAGCTTCATTTCCAGCTTTTTGCTGATTAGCTAGAAATAAGAATCTCACAGACTTTCCTGCCTGGGCTGGCTTTGAACCTGGGTCCCCAGAGCTCAACTTCCTCTGGGTATGAGCCACCAGTGCCTGGCTCTTGGCATTGTATGTTGAAAATGTAAAAGTCATACAGAAATAAAGCAGAGCAGAGACTGCTGTGTAGCTCTTATCCTCTCAGCACCTATTGACCCGTGGCCCACCGTGGTTCACTGCTGCTGCGGATAGGATTGCTTTGGAACAGATCTTCAGATAGGAATAGTCTGTACTGTGTCATGAGAGTCACTGTAGGCAGGGATGGACCAAGTAAGGTGTGGGTTCTGAGCAGCTGGCTGGATTCAGAGGTGAAGGTTTTGTGTGAAACTACGAGACTCCGATCCGACTAGGCTTTTGCTGAGTCAGGACTACTGAGTGTCAGGACTTTCTGTGTGGCTCAGAAACAGCAGCAAAAGGCCATTCCCCCATGTCAGGTATCTGCTTTGTTTTCTACCTGCATTTCCTATACAAGCCCGCACTATTTATCTTCTCTTCATATGCACATTGGTAGGTTGGATTTAGAGGCTTCCAAATTGCTGCTGAGAAACAAAATGACGTCATGTCCATTGATTATGAAGGAAGCGAGTATAAGCTGTCTCATGGGTCGGTGGTCATTGCGGCTGTCATCAGCTGCACCAATAACTGCAACCCTTCTGTCATGCTTGCTGCAGGTAAGCAGTGCCTTGGGGGATACATGTTTGGTTTGGTTTGGTTTGGTTTTATTGGTTGTGGAGCCTGAACGTGGGGCCTGGGCGCTGTCCCTGAGCTTTTTCACTTAAGGCTAGCACTCTACCACTTTGAGCCTCAGCGCCACTTCTGGTTTTCTGGTAGTTCATTGGTGATGAGAGTCTCACAGAGCCAGGTGTTGGTGGCTCACGCCTGTAATCTTAGCTACCCAGGAAGCTGAGATCTGTGAGGAGCATGGTTTAAAGCTGGCCGGGCAGAAAGGTTCCCAGGAGACTCTTATCTCCTATTAACCACTCAAAAACTGGAAGCTGAGGCTTAAGTGATTGAGCACAAAGAGGCTTAGGGACAGCACCCAGGCCCTGAGTTCAAGCCTCCCAACTGAAAAAAAAAGGGGGGTGTCCCTCACATTTCTTTCCCTGGGCTGGTTTTGAACCCTGCTCTCAGATCTCAGCCTCCTGAGTAGCTAGGGTGATAGGTGTGAGCCACTAGTGTCTGGCTTCATATCCCAGTCAACAGTGTCTTTATTTTGTGTACACGTCCTTGTTTTCTGACATAATGTTTAGCACACATTTACTATAATTTCAAGTTGTTTTAAATGAGGTGAATCTGTTGTTGAAAGTAGACAAAATGATGAAGATATGTTTAAGGCTTTGGGCATAGCATCCAATCTGGTCAATAGACCTTTCTCCTTTCTGCTTTCTACTCCCAACGTGAAGAAAGGAAGTCACCTCTCTAATCAGTCCTGTTTGTTGGTGGCGCAGGTCTTTTGGCTAAGAAGGCTGTGGAAGCTGGGCTGCGTGTGAAGCCATACATAAGAACAAGCGTGTCTCCAGGCAGTGGCATGGTGACTCACTACCTCAGCTCAAGTGGTGTGCTGCCCTATCTTAGTAAGCTGGGGTAAGTGGCTTCACGTGACTGCTATTGGCATTGGTTCTGGGCTGCCTAACAGGCCTTTCATAAACCAAAAGCATGCTGTGGTGGGAGTACTTTGCCATTTCCATGGTGTCTCTGAGGCCTCTTCACTAAACAGAAGTGTGCGAGGCCCTGTAGGGACCTGGCAGTCGGATTTATATGATCTCTCACTTCAGGATCTTTAGAGAAGACACATGACAGACAATGAAATAAACACTGAACCATAGCCTCAGTGTCTGAGTGCTGTCTCGGAGCACTTGCTCCTCATGCATTCTGTATACAGCTCAGAAAAGAAAACCTTCTGGCTGCATTTATTAACACTAAACTGTCTTAATTGGGATTTTGTAAGATTGTCTATAATACATGAGTTGTCCCTTAAATGTAGAGAAAGCAACGTACATTTCGGTGTGTGTGTTTTGTGTACGTGTGCACGCACATGCATGTGCACACACAAATTAAGCTTCCCAGGGTAGCTAGGATTATAGGTATATGATGCCTGGCTTATATTTGTTAACATAGTCAAGAATTGATTGGAGCTGGGACGGTGGTTAAGGTAGAATGCTTGCCTTGCAAGCATGAGGCCCTGGGTTCAATTCCTCCTCCACATAAGCAGAAAAAGTTGCAAGTGGCACTGTGGTTCAAGTGGTAGAGCACTAGCCTTGAGCTGAAGAGCTCAGGGACAGCACCCAGGCCCAGAGTTCAGGCCCCACGACCAACCAAAAAAAAAAAAAAATTAATTGATGGTGCTAATTATATTTTCAGTATATATTTTGGAAAATATTTTCTTACATAAATTATTAGCTTCTTTGAAAACTTGATAAATTTTAGGGTTTTTTGTTTTTTGCTTTTTGAACTGCAGCTAAAGGTAGTTTAGATTTTGCTTACAATGTTTTGTATTGGAATTTTAGGTAAGGTATCTTCTTAGGCTTAATGAGTAGAAAAAGGTAACATTCACTTTTTGTTGTTGTTGGTCATGAGGCTTGAACTCGGTCTGGGCACTGCCCTCAGCTCTTCATCTCAAGAAGAGTGCTCTATCACTTGAGCCACAATGCCACTTCCGTTTTTCTGAGTGGTTTATTGGAGATAAGAATCTCACAGAATTTCTTGCCTGGGCTGGCTTTGAACTGCGATCCTCAGATCTCAGCCTCCTGAGTAGCTAGGATTACAGGCATGAGCCACCATTGCCCAGCAACATTCACTTTTATTATAGTGCCTACTTTGTTTTGTTTTGTTTTTTTGGTGAGTCTTTGATGGAATTGTTCCAGCCAATACTTGGGTACTTTGCATATTAAACAAGGCCTTTGGGTTTGCTTAAAATAGAATTTGTTTGAGGCTGGGAATATGGCTTAGTGGTAAAGTGCTTGCCTAACACGCATGAAGCCCTGGGTTTGATTTCTCAGTACCACATAAACAGAAAAAGCTAGAAATGGCATTGTGGCTCAAGTGGTAGATTGCTAGCCTTGAGCAAAAAGAAGCCCAGGGACAGTTCAGGCCCTGAGTTCAAGCCCCAAGACTCACCAAAAAAAAAAAAAAAAATGATTTAATATAGAAAGATTTTTCTTTTTTTCTCTTTTTAATGCTGGTCCTGGAGTTTGGACTCAGGGTCTGGGTACTGTCCCTGAGCTTTTTTGCTCAAGGCAAGCACTCTTACCACTTGAACTACTGCTCTACTTCTGACTTTTTGATTGTTATTTTGGAGATAGGAGTCTTAGGGACTTCCCTGCTCAAGGCAGCTTCAAACCACGACCCTCAGATTTCAGCCTCCTGAGTAGCAAGGATTACAGGTGTGAGCCACCAGCACCTGGGCATGATTATTTTTAGAAGGTTATATTATGTTTTTAGTATATTGTATTTGAAGAGTTCCCTTGAGTGATGTAATACACATAGTTGGCCTGTGAGTGTTTCAGCATGCTAATGCTAAGCATATGGTGAAATTAGTATACACCTGATATAGGTTAATAATCTGTATGCCATGAACAGTCTTGGAGTAATCTCATCGATGTGCTCTGTAATCATGTTGTCCTTTTTGAAAACACAGATTTGAAATAGTTGGCTATGGATGTTCAACCTGTGTGGGGAACACAGCGCCCTTATCAGAAGCAGTTCTAAATGCAGTGAAACAGGTAAAGTGTGATCACCTAGCATGGAGCACAGATTGTAAACTGTCTTGTTAGATTACAAGAAATACATATTGATGGGTTTATGTTTCTCTAGTTATTGCACCTCTTGGAAAGACTAAACTCTGAGTCTCTGATTTGAAGAATCATTTCTGCATTTCTGGAATGATTCCTTATTAATGAAAGGAATTATTAGCTATGTGTAGGACTTGTAGTTTCTGTACCTAAAACTTAGTGGTATGCTTTGCTTATCTTATTCACAGAACTATAATACTGAGATTGCTTACATAGGATTATCCAAGTTTGTATGTGCTTGTGAATCAAGTGTATTTATGTGTGTGGCATTTTTGTTTGTGTTGTGTTTTTCAGGGTGATTTGGTTACCTGTGGAGTTTTATCCGGAAACAAAAATTTTGAAGGCCGTCTTTGTGATTGCGTCCGTGCCAATTACCTTGCCTCTCCCCCACTGGTGGTGGCCTATGCCCTGGCAGGCACAATGAACATAGATTTCCAGACAGAGCCTTTAGGTATGCTCCCATATATAAATATATCTATTTTTAATATCTCTGTGTGTAAACAGATCATACACTCACGCACACTTTTCCCCCAGAAGTTCTTAGTTTTCTCATTGATTTCTACATCCCAATGAAGGACATAAAGCAAGCAGATACCTGTTGTTGTGGCGGCTGATGCCTGTACATGATGTCGAGCCTTTCCTTGGTTCTGTTGTATGTCTTTGAAATGGCATAAGCATTTTGAAGGAGCGTATTCTGACACTCAATATCATGTCAAACTCTTAACCAGGGACTGACCCTACTGGCAAGGATGTTTACCTGCGTGATATTTGGCCTAGTCGAGAAGAGGTTCAACGGATAGAAGAAGAACATGTTATTTTGTCCATGTTTAAAGCACTGAAAGGGAAGATAGAGGTAAGAGCCTGGCCTGTTTCTTCAAGAGCTTAAGAATGTTGTAGGTGGTTTCTTTTTTATCATGAATCTTTCTGGATAGAATAAAAAGTTAAATGACATTAGTGTGGATACATGGGTCTTAGTAATAGCACTTTGCATCTGGAATTGCTAAATACAAAGAGAATGGCTTAGTGTATTAGAATTGATGTCATTCACTTTCCTTACTGGGTGCTATGACTAAGTAGAGGGCACACTTCATAGAAATTTCCCTCACAGGAAGTAACAGCAAACCTTGAAATCTTCGTCTCACCAATTTCCTGCCTATGCACTTTGCCTTTCTAGAAATCAGTGATCTTTTCAGAGATAGGTGTGGGTGTGCTTGTGTACCATTACTGGGCTTTAGCTCAGCTTCAAATTCTCCCTTGGCTTTGTCACTTTGTACACCTCCACTTCCAGCTTTGTAGTGGTTAGTTGGAAATGAAAGTCTCTTGGATTTCTCTACCTGGTCTGGCTTCAAACTGTGGTCATTCGCTCTCAGCTCCTGCATAGCTAGGATTACAGGCAGGACCCACTGGCACCTAGCTCAAAGTTTTAATTTTTAAAACTGGAAATATGAAGGCAAAAAAAGCACCTACTTAGCAAACACTTAAAATCATACTATGTGCCAGATGCCTCTGCGTGTTCTAGTACATCATTGAACAAAACACAAACTTCACACAGTGTGCTATCAATAAAATAGGTAAATAGCACACCATGTTAAAAAAAAGACCAGCCAGGCACTGGTGGCTCATGCCTGTAATCCTAGCTGCTTGGGAGGCTGAAATCTGAGGCTCATGGTTCAAAGCCAACCCAGGCTGAAAAGTCTCTGTGAGACTCTTATCTCCGTGAACCACCAGAAAACCAGAAGTGGCGCTGTGGCTCAAAGTGGCAGAGCACTAGCCTTAAGCAGAAATGCTCAGGAACAGTGCCCAGGCCCTGAGTTCAAACCCCATAACTGACAGGGAAAACAAAAAAAAGTAAAGACCTGTGGAAAAGACTTAATTGGGATAATTTGCATAAAACAGTTGTATCAATTTTGCAAAGTAGATTGTAGGAGTTTTGATGTTTTTTTTTCTTTTTCATTTCAGTATATAGTGTCATTTTATAATCTAAGCTGGTTTTAACCTTATCCTCCAGCCTCAGTCTCCAAGGGCTCAGATGAACCAGGCTCAGATTGACAAGTTAGCCTGTGCAAAAAAGTCTGTGA